TGATCTTGTCTGGGAAATGAAATGATCATCAATTAATATGAAACTTTTCTTTCAAAAATTTGTGACTGAAAAGAAGTGGAAGTTAGAAAGTTGGACAAATTTCATCCTCAACCTTTCTTTTAAACAATATAATGGGTAAGTATGTAAAACATACTTATCAGTACAATACTCTATTCCCCACTTCATATAATTATACACTTATCATACTCATTACATTAAACATAAAACTTTTTCCTCGTAGGCCAAACCATTAATGTATCTATACTTATTCAGCAACGGTGGAATTTATTGGCTCTCTGTCATGTCATTATTTTTGGTGAAACATAGGTCGCTTGCAACTACTCTTGTTTCACAATCTTTTGGGTTTGGTGCTACTTGAAATTTGAATCAATGTTTGTTGATCTTATTGTAAATTTCTTTTCCTGCTCCTGCAACAGGTTTTGGCTGTTTGAGCCTCGCAGTGCCATGCATGACATTGGAGATTGGGACGTTGAGACATTTGGAAGGGATAAGAAGAGGCGGACTGTCCCATCTCAGAGGTACTAGGATGGTTTGGATGCTAATGAACAGTTGGATAAGTAAGTTTCTCATGTGTAGGCTTATTAAACATATAAAAAGAATTAAAGAACTTGTCATCTCATTTTTATCTTTGTGAAGGAAGCAAAGTTCATGTACTGGGAATTTACACTCCCTTGAATTTGAGCTCTTAATAGTTTCAAAGAGCTTAAATATTAATAGAATCTCACACTTAAGAGTAAATGTTACAAATTAGCCAAAGTTATAGGCTGAATTTCATCCACTTGTCTTGAAAGTTCTGTTGTAATTGGTCTTGTTATCCCTAAATGAAACAATAAAGTTTCACAATGATGTCGTATCACGTGCAAACTAGATATTTTTGTTTATTGCGTTCTTTCAATTTTCGATTAATAATTGAAAAAAATCAAAGGAGCAAAACAACTGTCATTTTTTCCGGGATATCTGTTACGTGTTCTTGAAAATGGAAGTTCTTTTTAATTCTATTCAATGTCATATACGGGAGAGTCCATCTAGCAATGTACTTGCTCTTGCTTATAGAACTCTGGATATCGAAAATGCAAGGAGAAGGAAAAAGACAGTGAAGGGTATAGTTGAGGCCAAAATGTTTAGAGTTCTCAGTTGTTGTAAGGGATTTGTATAGAAAATATTGGCACTTCATTGGGTGATAAATGCTGATATCCTACATGGTGACAACACCGTTATTGAGTCCCAGGTTCCCACAAGCATCTTTCTTTAGTATTCTCTAATTGAAACTCAACTTTTTAAGAACCCTTTTTAAACCCCTATTTCATTCTTAATTTGTACAAATCTGTCTCCTTATTTTTTACAACTTCATAATTTCGAGCTAGTTCATACAAATTGAGGTATTTAGTTTTTAAGAACCCTTTGTAAACCCCTATTTTGTTCTTAATTTGTACAAATCTTTCTCTCCTTATTTTTTACAATTTCATAATTTTGAGCTAATTCATACAGATTTTATCAATTTGAGCACAAATCTTTGAAGTGCTTGGAGTATAAATTTTTGTTAGTCTTAAACGACACGTAGGGCAGATTCTGTTTTTGACATTTGAAAGAAGAAGAGAGAAAACAAAGATATTTAATTGAATATCTTTATGGTTTAACCCTATCAATTAAAGAGGCTTTGTTTTCTATTTGAGACCATAGATGGAGTTTTTGTACGGTGTTTCAATGTGATTTTTCGTGAATGACTTGTTTCAAAAAATCTCTTTGAATGATGATATGTTTAATGTAAAACTACATGGCAATTTGGATGAAGTTTTCAAGGTTAAAAGTTTAATTCTCACTTCTCAGCTTGTGGAACTCATATGTCATTTTGTAATTGATATTGTTTAACATTACTATCGTTACCTACTAATTGTTTGATTGTTTCCGAATGCGACATCCATGTACATGTCAGCTTTAGCATAATTGGCTTCTAAAAGAATAATGTGGCCTTTTATTTTCATTACTTCTGTAGGATCCTTTGAGACTTGACATTGTTATTAGCTTCCCCAATTATGGTTTTCGTCTTAGGTTTGATCCTTGGTCACAGGTATTATAAACCACGGCTTGTATCCTTCTACGGTTTAATTGCTTGGTCTTTCTTTAGTTGTAGCTAAATAACTTTATCTGTTGAATGTTATTAAATTTATTGGAATTTTTAATACTTGAGTGGCTGTATTGGAGTTTGCTCTGTCAAGGCAAGCAAACAAACAAACATCGGTTCTTCTCTTAACAGCTTACTTAATGAGATCGTTAATCACGTGTTAAGTGGCATATTGTGTCTTTTGTCTTGGTTTCAAAGGTGGGATTTTCAGGTAATGGGGGTAGGGATTGTGGCGAGATGATGGGCTCATTCCTCTGAAGCTGATTTAGTATTTCCATGGCATACTCGAGTGCATTGAGGTGTGGAGTGCGCACTGGAATTATCCTGAATTTGTTGGCAAAGAGGTATAAACTTTACACCCATAAACCACTTCTTTCGTGTCTTGCCACTATGCATCTATGAATCAAAGCATTTTTGATGTTAACATCCTGGTCTTTATGACTGAATCAACAGAAACTAGAATATTGGTTGTGAATTATGGGTTTTCACTTGTTCATACAAGCTTCCTTGCATGAGTAATCCTATTATTATTAACCATTCATTTCCATTTTTGAATGCTGATTTTCAAAATTTCTTTGGATTGGCAGGCGTGCCAATTGGTTTGGGATGTGAGAGTGGTAGGCTGGGACATTTCCTATGGAGCTGAGTTTGTACCCAGTGCTGAGGGTGGATACACTTGGATTGTACAGAAATCAACAGCCTACTTTATTCAGGGAGACCGACCCATAGCCCAAGAAACAAACTCTTTGGCAGGCAACTTCTGACTTCACTCATGGACAAGCTAGCATAAATAGGTAATAGTTAGTATTCCTTATACATTGTTTTCTTTCTTTATGCTATCTGGTTTCAATGATCTAACGTCGTGCAAAAAAATTAAAGGTGAGTTACTTGAGTCATTCGAGATGTAGAAAAGCTTCTGCCATGTTAAGTACAGGAACAAAATATTTGGCATATATACAAATTTTGACACGTGCATTAATTAATGTCATAACTTGTCGATTCATTGCTTTTAATGCCATAGTTCCTAAGCAACAAATGGTTCCTTTTTGCAGTAACATTCATCATATGTGGAGTTTTTGTGATCCTGAACAAGTGAGATTGTTTATTTTCACATGAACCGCATTTATTTTTATGATACACATTTTTTTGGTACCTTATGCCTACACTAGATGCAATCTGTTTTCTTACCTAGGAAAAAACTGCAAATCTTTAAATGATCATGATTTTTGTCTAACCATCTGGTTCTTTTTTATATGTTTTCAATGCATCATATCACTATTTTATTTGCATAAAATCACTTTATGCTTCCTTTTTCATAGGTTGCTTTTACTTGTTCATTAGCTCTTTTTAATGCTCTTTCGACCATGTCCTTCATATCAGGTAAATAGTAGAAAATAGGCAATATTGACTGCTGAAAAGGATGGAAAGCTGGATAAAGATGTCCCTGAGAAGAATGAAAGAGAGAAGGCAAAGGGAGGTCAGACCATTTCCAAAGGCAATAGCACTACAGTTGAAACCGAGGGAAAGTTGGATAAAGATGTCCCTGAGAAGAAGGAAAGAGAGAAATTAAAGGGTGCTTTTTTTCTCGTGGAGTACTACTCTCTATGCACCACGGAGTAAACACTCCGTGGTGCACGGAGAGGTGACCGAAATTTTTTGTTTTATTTTTTATTTCTGTTATATAAATTGAAGTAGGTTCAAAAAAATCATTAATGTCTAATATTTATTCTGATATGTAAGATTTAACTGGTTTTATTCTGTTTTTTCTACAGTGAACAATCATGCACGCACTTGTCCTGTTTTTATTTGGATTTGCTACAGTGAGGTAGTGTTTTTTGTTGACTTTGGATTAGTTTAATTGTCTATGGAGAATTTGGTAGTCGATTTACATTATTTCAGTCGGTCATATTGAATGTATTGGAGAAATAAATATAGTAGAAATTAATTTCACTTCATTACCGTGTTTTCTAGCCTCTATTAGAAATTCTGAAGAAATTTTATTCACTCCATCGTCTTCCCAAACGTTTATTCCATTTTACTGTAAGTAATTATGTACAAGTTAATTTTGTTTCTACTATTTTTGCATGTTTATTATTTAGATACAATTGTGTTGCCTTATTTTTATATGTCTCGTGTGAGAGTTTTTAGGTTTGGATTT